GCGTGAGCAGGCAAGCGTGTGGGCGGCAGCGGGGGGCCGGAGGCAGCTCAGGCAGCAGCGGGGCATGCGAGATGGAAGCAACGGGGAATGGGCGCGTGCGGTAGCTAGCAGGCGAGGTTGGGGGCAGCTAGGGCAGCGCGCGCGGGCGGCAGTTGGCAGGTGGGGGCAGCTCGGTCAGCCGTAGGTATTTCAATTTGAACGGGTTTTCAGGTTGACCCAGCAACCCGTCGGGTCAACCCAAATCCGACCCACTTTTCAAACTGGTCGAATCCGGAAACCCGAACTGACCCGTTTTGAAATCGGATCGGGTCAAACCCGAATTTTTTGAGTCGGAGATCTATCTTGCCACCAAGCTCCTCTTCGACCACTGCTTGGCCACCAACCGTTATCGCTTTTACATCCGGTCATTGATTATCCTCAGACTTCCGCCTAAACACTATCCTTCACCCACCGACAATGGTCCTTCTGACCACCGTCGCCCGTCGACTACGATTTTTTTGACCACCATCTCTAGACTATAATCTCTCAAACCACCGTCGTACGACTACGATCATTCCATCCATCGTCACCCGCCAACTATGGTCTCTTCGGCCAGCGTCTCGAGACTACAGTATCCCAGACAACCGTAATCCAACTACGGTTCTTCTGGCCACCGTCGTCCGACTACAATTTTTATGTCAACTATGATCTTTCTAACCATAGTATCCAGACTACGGTGTCCTCGACCTCTATTGTCTGTCGACTACGGCCTCTATGACCAACATCTTTAGACTATCATCTCCCCGACCACCATTGCCTAACTAATGTCCTTTAGATCATCATCTCCCCACTATGGCCCTTCCGACTTCCATCGCCCATGAACTTCGATCCTTCCGACTACCATCGTCTGACTACTATCTTTCATACCTTTGTCATCAACCGACTATGGTATCTTCGACCACCATCTCTAGAATACAATCTCCTCGATCGCCATCATGCGTTGATAGTGGACACGTCACCTGACTACGGTCCTTCCGATCACCGTCACCAGACTACGGTCTTTCAAACCTCCGTCGCCCATCAATTATGGTCCTTCTGACCACTGTCGCTCGATGACGGTCCTTCCGACCTGCATCACTCATTGATTATGGGTTTGCCAGTCAAATGAACATAACAATACTTATTCTTCCAACTCTCACTATGTAACACTCTCTATATGTTGTATACTTGCTACATTGAGCCAAGGCCATGCCCCCCATAGAAGGGCATCATTTATAATCAACTAAAAACACTAGTGGATACATTTAAATTAGGCAAGGCTCCGTGTTTTTCCCTTTTCATGAATTTTCATATAAAAATTTTGATGTCTCTTATAAATGCTACACCCCTATCTTTCATTTGTGTGTTGGATCTTGGAACAAAATTAAGACGCTAAAATTCAGATTGCTCTACCACCGCGAATATTCTAGGACGCAAAAGTATACTTATAACTGAAAAATTATAGGATGAAATCTCTATAAAAACTTCTATTAATCTCTATAGGACTATATGAAATATTTCAAAAAAAAATCTTAAGTATTTTGGATATAACATACATACAATAAAATTATTGAAGAATAAACTAAATTATTAAACATTCATAGATATAATTATGTTAAAAAGGTATGAGAACTAATTAGGATTACAAGAAATCATTGAAAACACATACTAATCATCTAATCAGATTAATCATATATGAATTCAAAATATATTAAAATGTCATGATAGATTTTTATTTTATTCATTTTATTTTATGTAAAATGTCGATCACCTTTGGATGACCTGATTAGGATTTATTGGATTGGGCCTATGCTGGGAAAGATAGAAGCAGATTTAAAAAGATTTGATTAAAAACTATTAAAAATGAATTTTCTAATTAAATTTAAATTAGAATTTTACTCTTAACAAGGCACACTAGAGGAAGAGGATATATGTATCTAACCCCACATAGTGGGATAAAGGCTTGATGTTATTGTTGTTCATCTTATTTTATGTAAATTATATAATGTTATCGACTTTTTTATACTTTGAACAATTTGAATTTTTTATATCCAATATTTTTTTAGATTAAAAAGATATATTATTAAATGAAGTTATGTATAATACAAAATAAACTTTGCAATTTATGCATATAATTGAATTTTAAATAAGATAAAAATGATTTATAAAAAAACAACAAAAAAAAGATAAAAATGATTTATTTGGTATATGATGTACCTTTAACTCATATTTTATTACAATTTGCTGCAGACGAGAAAATTCATAGCGGTGAAGTAAGAAAATTTTGTATATTAGTTTTGTATCATCTAGCATACAAATAGATAAATGAAAAGGAGCACGAGTGACTTAAACATTTTTAAGTGAAAAATCCACAAAGGAAAAAAAATGGTACCGTCCTCGTTGAAATGATTCAACTATGTTGTGAGCGTTGATTACAAATACTTGTCAATCCTCTAATTTATATATGGAAAAATTATAAGATTATGAGGAATTTATTAAAAAAATATCCCTAAATCTATATAGGGTCAAATGACTGTGACTAATTGAAAACAGCCTTATAATATTGATAATATTGAGTCACAACTCCCCCTTGCATGAAAAACACATCTCAACCTTCTTGTCGCAAGGCAACTCTCACTCATGCAAATCACTTCGACCTATGCTTGCCTGATAAGTATTGTTGGACGTCCATCTAACTGCCGCCATTGGAATTTCACTAGCCAACCACCGTTGTCAGACCTTTCAATTGCAAACCTTCACTGTTGGAGCTCCTCTGCCCGATCACCACCATATGACATCCATTGCCTGACTGCCACCATTGAAGCATCATCCCCATAATACAATGCTTGAACTGTAATCGCCCGCCTATGACCTTTCAGATCTCAATCGCTTGCTAACATGGTCCTTTTGACCTTCACTGGCATCCAATAATTATCTAATGAGACACGAACTATGGTCACTCAGACCTCCAACACCCGTTGATGATAATAATTGGACTACCATCACCTGA